ATATAATATCTCATAAATACTATATTATATCTCAATAATTCTATATTATATCCCATTAATACTATATTACATCTCATTAATGCTCTATTATATCTCATTAATTCTATATAACATCTCATTAATGGTATATTATATCTCATCAATACTATATTATATCTCATTAATGCTGTATTAAATCTATGCTAAAGAGATACTAAAAGAATTCCATACAAAAGACACGAAAAAATCTTAAAGAATCCCCGTGAGAGTCCGACAGAGCCAGGTCATGGCTTGGAGCCCATTGGCCAAGGAAACAAAACAATCTGCAGCAGAACCCAAATGATGAATCCCTGCAGGGGAACAATCCCCCGGACACATTCCAACACGCGCAGAAACAACAGGAGCAGTGAGGAGAGATGGGAATTGTTTCCTCTTCATCTTCTCCCTGTGCTGCTCCAGGAAAATCCTGTGAGAGAAAGAGAGAGACAGAGAGAGAGAGGGAGAGAGAGAGAGAGACAGAGAGAGAGAGGGAATGGTGTCTGACTCTGTGCTGGGAATGAGAATGGCAGAGCTGGGCCTGGTGCCCATCTCCCCTTTGTCCCACAGGGCTCCGGGCGGCCGTGACCCTGCTGGAGCGCGGGGGGACCTCCTGCCCCCCGGGGGGTCCATGCGCCTCCTCTGCCGAGGCTCCGCATTAAATTTCGGGAGATTCTCCATGTTCTGGGCGCGCCAGACACCCAGGCAGGGGCTGGAATTCTTCGCAGGGATCAAGGACAACGGTGGCAGCATCGCCTACGCGCCATCATTCAAGGGCCGGGTGAGGATCTCCAGGGACAACGGGCAGAGCTCGGTGACGTTGACCATGAACAACCTCAAGGACAAGGATTCCGGATCCTATTTCTGTGCCAAATGCGTTGATGGTGGTTGTGCCAATAGTGATGGTACTGTTGGCGTGGCATTTATTGCTGGTTCTGATCTTGGTCCCAAATCCCTCCACTTTGTTCCCAAATATCCCCTGGTCCTCTGATCTCTCCACCAAATCTCAGCCCTTTTCATCACATCTCGGCCATTTTACCCCAAACACTGCCCCTGCTGCCCCAACTCCCGAATTTCTCCCAGTTTTTCCCATTCCACCCAAATCTCCCCAGCTCCCAAGACCTGGTTGGAGCAGGCCTGAACTGCAGGCCAGGGGTGAAGGTTTGGGGCCAATGGTTGAGTTATGGGGCAGGAGCAGGGGAGGGTTTGGGGTCAGTGCTGACCATTGGGGCAAATGGAGACAAAGGGTCAAGGGCTGGGTCAATGGGTGAGGTTTGGGATGAAAAGCAGAACTCTGGGGACTCAGTGATGGGAGTGGGATAAAAGGCAGGAGCTTGAGACAATCAGGGGCAGCGTCACCATTAGCAGCAGCACCATAATTATCAGCAGCCCTGGCACAGAAATAGGGTCCGGAATCCTCGTCCTTGAGGTTGTTCATGGTCAGCGTCACCGAGCTCTGCCCGTTGTCCCGGGAGATCGTGAACCGGCCCTTGACCGAAGGCGCGTAGTAAGTGGCTCCACCAATGTTTATGTACGCCACGAATTCCAGCGCCTGCCCGGGTCTCTGTCGGACCCAGTTCATGGCAAAATTGCCGAAACTCTACCCGGACCCACGGCAGAAGAGGTGCAGGGACCCCCGGGTGGCTGGAGGTCCCCCCGGCAATCCAGCAGGGTCACGGCCGCCCGGAGCCCTGCAGGACAAAGGAGAGATTGGGACTAGGGGATGGATTGGCTGTGCGGTCAAAGTTGGCGCTGCCATTCCAGAAAAAGGGTGTGGGATCCACCCGGGATGACTGGCAGGAGTTGCAGGAGCAAGACGGTGAGGTCCAAGGGTCCCAATTTTTGGGCAACATCAGGATCTGCATGCAAGAATCAACATTTGGGTGGATGTTTTCCTTCATCCCCATCTCCCCTTTGTCCTGCGGGGCTCCGGGCGGCCGCGACCCTGCTGGAGTGCGGGAGGGACCTCCAGCCCCTGCGGGGTCCCTGCGCTACCTCTGCCGAGGGTCTGGGTTGGATTTCGGGAGTGTTGACCTGTTCTGGATCCGCCAGAGACCCGGGCAGGGGGTGCAATATGTCGCAAGGATCTACTACACTGGAGGTTACACCGACTACGCGCCATCGGTCAAGGGCTGGTTCACGATCTCCAGGGACAACAGCCAGAGCTCGGTGATGCTGACCATGAACAACCTCAAGGACAAGGATTCCGGATCCTATTTCTGTGCCAAATGTTACAGCAGTGGTTGTGGTGGTGGTACTGCTGCTTACGGTTTTGATGGTGGTTGTGGTCCCAAGCCCTCTCCTCTCTCTTCCCAAATAGCTCAGAATTGTCTGATCCTTCCCCAAAATCCCCACCTCTGTTTCTCAAATCTTGACCATTTCCCCCAAAATCCACCGTCACTTCCCCAGTTCCCAATTTCCCCCAATTTTCCCCATTCCTCCCCAGTCTGGCCCTACCCCTCTGTCTTAGTGTGGCACGGGGATCGCTCCAGGGCCCTTTGCAGCCAAAGCTTTTTGTGCAGCCGGTGCTCTGCCACAGTGCCCAAAGGCTGAGCTGCCCTCTGCCAAACACAGATGTTCACAGTGGCCAAAACCAGGAACTTTCTGTTTCCTTTCCTGCCCCGGCCGGGCCCCGGCAGCTGCCGGGGAGGAAGTGGGGGGAGGCTGCGGAGCCCCAAAATCGCGGCCTCTTCTCCTCCCTCCCTCCCTCCCTCGCTCCCACCTGGGGCTTCACCTCTCCCTCAGCAGCCTCGGTGTCTGGGGCTGCTCCTTGGGGCTGGGCTGGAATCCTCTCTGTGAGCTATGGAGAAAAAGCCCTTTTTTTTTTTTCCCAAAAACACATGAAAATTTGTGGAGATGAAACTGTTGAAATTGATCTCGAGCCAAGGGCTCCATGCTGAGAGAAGCAGATGGGTGCAAGGGTGGAGTCACCTGGAACGTTCCATCGGTCAAGGTCTGGGTCAGCACGGCCAGGGACAGCAGGCTGAGCTCGGTGACGCTGGCCATGTGTGACAACAGGTGAAAGGTCTGAAGATAGCTGAGGACACGGGGATGGGGACATGGCCAAAAGCACTGGCAATATCAGCATTGCCACCAGAAATACGCTTGGCACAGAAATAGGATCCGGAATCCTCGTCCTTGAGGCTATTCATGGTCAGCGTCACTGAGCTGTGCCCGTTGTCCTGGGAGATCGTGACCCGGCCCTTGACCGATGGCGCATAGAAGGTGTTGACACCATCAGCATTGATCCCAGCAACAAATTCCAGCGCCTTCCCGGGTCTCTGGCGGATCCTGAACATACCAAAACTCCCAAAACTGAACCCGGCCCCTCGGCAGAGGAGGCGCAGGGACCTCCCGGGGAGCTGGAGGTTCCCCCCTGCCCTCCAGCAGGGTCACGGCTGCCCGGAGCCCTGCGGGACAAAGGGGAGATGGGGATGAGGCCAAAGCTCAACATTGACCCAAATCCTGACTCTGGGCCCGAAACTGGGATGTTTGGACCGCCCCATCCTAGTTCTCCTGCTGCCCCTCTCAGGTGGGTCCCGCAACATTTTCCTGTTTAATACACCCACTTTGAAGCCCTCAGGTAATCAGGTTTCTCAACCCCATCTCCCCTTTTTCCCGCAGGGCTCCGGGCGGCCGTGACCCTGCTGGAGTGCGGGGGGGACCTCCAGGCCCCCGGGGGTCCCTGTGCCTCCTCTGCCGAGAGTCCGGGTTCAGTTTCGGTGGTTTTGCCATGGTCTGGATCCGCCAGAGACCCGGGCAGGTGCTGGAATTCGTTGCATGGATCAGGAGCGATGGTTCCAGCACCATCTATGCGCCATCGGTCAAGGGCCGGGTCACGATCTCCCGGGACAACGGGCAGAGCTCGGTGATGCTGACCATGAACAACCTCAAGGATGAGGATTCCAGATCCTATTTCTGTGCCAAAGCTGCTGGTGCTACTTGGGCTGCTGCTTCTTATATTGACCGTACCGGTGGTGGCAGCGCCCTTGCCTGACCCCCTCTTGTCCCCAAATCTCAGAACCTTTACCCAAATCTCAGCCCTTGCCCCCATTCTTGATCAATTTGCAGTGATATCCCCCATTTCCACCCATGGTTGACCAAAGACCCCAAACCCCCAAACTGGTTCTGCCCAAAACCCTCCTGCTCTGGCCCCAGAACTCGCCTGATTCTGCCCCAAATCCCCACTTTGGGCTCCCAGCCTCAGCCGCTTACCCAGTCTTCACCCCCTGCCCCCAAATCTCAGCCCTTTGGGCACTTTCGGGGCAACGAGGGGGAGATTTGGGGCCGAGAGTTGAGTTATGGGCCAGACCCAGGGCAGGGTTTGGGGCCAATGGGTAGCGTTGGGGCAAAGGGGGCGGGGCTGGGACAAAGGGTCAGGGGTGGGTCAGGGGTATTTGGGGGAAGGGTCTGGGGACAGCTGGGGACAGGGACCGGGACAGCACCCCAAACACCAACACAACCACCGGGAGTGAAACCAATGGCATGGGCAGCATTCCAGCCACCATAGGAATCCTTGGCACAGAAATAGGATCCGGAATCGTCGTCCCTGAGTTTGTTCATGGTCAGCGTCATCGCGCTCTGCCCGTTGTCCCTGGAGATCCTGAACCGACCCTTGACAGAACCTGCGTAGTAGGTGGCGCCAGCAGGGCTGATCTGTGCTACAAATTCCAGCACCTGCCCAGGTCTCTGGTGCATCCAGCCCATCCCAAATTGTCTGAAACTGAACCCGGCCCCTCGGCAGAGGAGGTGCAGGGACCTCCCGGGGGGCTGGAGGACCCCCCGCACTCCAGCAGGGTCACGCCCTGCCCGGAGCCCTGCGGGACAAAGGGGAGATGGGGATGAGAAAACTGATTGGCTGAGGGCTTAAAAGTGGGTGTGTCAAACTGGAAAATGGGGCGGGACCTGGGAAGATCAGCAGGAGCAGGACAACTAGGATGAGATTTCCAAGGGTCACAGTTCGGGGCCAAGAGTCAGGACTTGGGTCAAGTGTTGAGCTTTGGCCCCATCCCCATATCCCCTTTGTCTCGCAGGGCTCCGGGCGGCCGTGACCCTGCTGGAGCGTGGGGAAGACCTCCAGCCCCCCAGGGGGGGTCCCTGACGTTGCTGTGCCGAGGGTCTGGGTTCAATTTTGGGAGTTTTGGAATGTTCTGCATCCACCAGAAATCCGGGCAGGGGCTGGAGTGGCTTGCCGGGATCTACAGCAATGGTGCTTACACCGAGTACGCGCCATTGGTCAAGGGCCGGGTCACGATCTCCAGGGAGAACGGGCAGAGCTCGGTGACACTGACCATGAACAACCTAAGGGATGTAGATTCCAGATCCTATTTCTGTGCCAAGGCTGCTGGTGCCAGGTGGGGTAATGATGTCTCTGCTCTTGGCCTCTTCCCCTTTACTGCATCCCCTCCTGTCCCCAATCTCCAGACCCTTCCCCCAAATTTTAGTCCTTGACCCCCTTCTTGACCCCTTGTCCCAGATCTCCCCCAGTTCCACGACACCGACTGTGCAGCCAAAACCCCCAAACTGGTTCTGCCCCAAACCCAATTAAGTTTGCACCAAAATCACCCGATTCTGCCCCAAAACCCCACTTTGTGCTCCCAGTCACAGCTGCTGACACGAATCCCCAATTCTGACAAAAATTTGAACCCTTGGCCTCAAATCCCGAACTACAGAGCAAACTTTTGGGGCACAAAGAAGAGATTTGGGGTCAGGAGTTGTGGTTTGGGGTCAGCGAGTGAGAATTGGGCCCGAGGCAGAGCAAGGCTGGGATCGACGGCCAAGGGCTGGGTGTGGGCTGGGGGTCTGGGGGAAGGGTCTGGGGAAGGGGGACAGGGGGGGACACGGAGATGGGGACACAACCATCATCATCACCTAAATTAGCAACAGCACCACCATCACCAGTGCCAGACGATTTTCCGCAAAAATAGATGGCAAAATCCTCGTCCTTGAGGTTGTTCATGGTCAGTGTCACCGAGCTCTGCCAGCTGTCCCTGGAGATCCTGAATAGGCCCTTGACCAATGGCGAGTAGCCAGTGGTGCCACCACAGCTGTAGATCCCTGTGACGAATTCCAGCCCCATCCCCGGTCTCTGGCAGATCCTGTACATTCCATAACTCCCAAAACTGAACCCGGACCCTCGGCACAGCAACGTCAGGGACCCTCCGGGGGGCTGGAGGTGCCCCCCCACACTCCAGCAGGGTCACGGCTGCCCGGAGCCCTGCGGGACAAAGGGGATGAGAAACCTGATTGGCTGTTGGGTCAAAGCGGGTGTGGTCTGCTGGAAAATGGGATGTGACTCACCTGGGAGGAGGATGATGAACACCAAGGCTCCCAGTTTGGGCCAAGAGTCAAGATTTGGGTCAAGGGCTGAGCTTTGGCTGCATCCCCATCTCCCCTTTGTCCCGCAGGGCTCCGGGTGGCCGTGACCCTGCTGGAGTGTGGGGGGGACCTCCAGCTTCCCGGGGGGGTCCCTGCGCCTCCTCTGCCGAGGGTCCGGGTTCAGTTTCGGCAGTTTTGGGATGGGCTGATATCGACAGAGACCCGGGCAGGGGCTGGAATATATCGCAAGGATCAGTGACAGTGGTGGTTACACCGAGTACGCGCCAGCGGTCAAGGGCCGGGTCACGATCTCCAGGGACAACGGGCAGAACTCGGTGACGCTGACCATGAACAACCTCAAGGACGAGGATTCCGGATCCTATTTCTTTGCCAGGGCTGCTGATGTTTATGGTGCTGCTGCTAATGGTGACAATGGCCCTGAGGGTCTCATGGTCCTGCCTTACATCCCACTCCCATCATTTTACACTCATAATTCTGATTTTCATCCCAAACCTCACGCATTGAACCAGCCCTTGACCCTTTGTCCCAAATCTCCCCCATTTGCCCCAATGGTCAGCACTGACCCCAAACCCTCCCCTGCTCCTGCCCCAAAACTCAACCACTGGCCCCAAACCTACACCCCTGAGCTCCAGTTCAGGCCTTACTCTCCAAGAGTTCCCATTTCTGCCTGTGCCAGCTCAGCCAATCAGGGCCCTGGGACCTGGGGTAGATTAAGTTTAAATAGGAAAATAATGGGGAAGGTCGACACTTGAGGCAGAATGGGTAGAGTTTGCCGGAAAATAGTCTAGATTTGAGGAGTAGGGCTGGGATTTGGGAGAAGAATCTCTGGAGATTGGGGACATTTGCTGCCCACCGTGGGGGTGGTGCCACTGGTGTCGTCATCAATAAAAGCATAATCAGCGCCCCAATACTTGTGACGTCTGGCACAGAAATAAGATCCGGAATCCTCGTCCTTGAGGTTGTTCATGGTCAGCGTCACTGAGCTCTGCCCGTTGTCCCTGGAGATTGTAAACCGGCCCTGAACCGACGGCGTGTAGATGGTGCTGGAACCATTGCTCCTGATCCATGCGACCCATTCCAGCCCCTGCCCGGGTCCCTGGCAGATGCAGAGCACGTCAGAGCTGCCGAAACTGAACCCGGACCCTCGGCAGAGGAGGTGCAGGGAACCCCTGGGGGGCTGGAGTTGCCCCCTGCACTCCAGCAGGGTCACGGTCGCCTGGAACCCTGCGGGACAAAGGGCAGATTGGAATGAGGGAAAAAATCCACCCAAATGTTGATTCCTGCATGCAGATTCGGATGTTGGCCTCAAATTGTGGCACTTTCTCCTCCTCCCAGTCCTGCTGGCCCTCCCAGGTGGGTCCAGGTCCCTTTTTGGATCTGGTCACCCCCAGCACAGCCCACACCAAGGTCCGGCTCCTCATCCCCATCTCCCCTTTGTCCCGCAGGGCTCCAGGCGGCCGTGACCCTGCTGGAGTGCGGGGGGGACCTCCAGCCCCCTGGGGGCTCCCTGCGCCTCCTCTGCCGAGCAGCCGAGATTGATTTTGGGATTATTGTGATGGCCTGGATCCGCCAGAGACCCAGGCAGGCGCTGGAGTTCATTGCAGATATCAGCACCACTGGCACAACAAGCTACGCGCATTCGGTCAAGGGCCGGTTAACGATCTCCAAGGACAATGGGCAGAGCTCGGTGACGCTGACCATGAAAAACCTCAAGGACGAGGATTCCGGATCCTATTTCTGTGCCAAATATGCTTATACTCCTGATGGTACTTATGGTATTACTTCTATTGACGTGACGCCTTGGCCCCACCCCCCGACCAACATTGTTGGACCATCAGGGTGCAGGACAGTCGGGACAGACGGACGGACACGAGAGATCTCTGCAGCCAGGTCATGGCATTTTCGGTTTATTGCAAAGGAAGACCTGCAGGGCCCTGCTGGGAGCTGCCAGGCACAGCTGGAGAAGGGCTGAGAGAAAGAGGGGAGAGAGGATGAGACGGGAAGAGAGTAAGAGAGTAAAAAAGGTAAATGAGTAAAAGGGTGAGAGAATAAAAAGGGTAAGAGAGTGAAAGAGTCAGTGAATAAAAGTGTAAGAGTGTAAAAGGGCAAGAACATAAAACTCTAAGAGAATAAAAGGGTAAGAGAGTGAGGTTCCCACCACAATACAATAAATCTTCTTCTCTGTTGAATATTCTAATTCTCACTAACGAATTTGGTCCAATATACAAACCCTACAGCATTTACATACAGCCTATAAGAACGGTTTCATTACCATACTCTATTACATTTTAAACCCTAAAAACTCCTCTTTGGGCCCCTTCTGCCAAGCCTAAGATCTGCTCTTTGGAAACCCTAAAATCACCTTTTTGGAGTAATTTTAAACCCGAAAACTCCTCTTTGGACTAACTTTAAACGCTAAAAACTCCTTTTTAGAGTATCTTTAAACCCCAAAAACTCCTCTTTGGCCCCTTCTGCCAAGCTGTAGAGTCGCTCTGAGCCTTGGGCCTGTCTGCAGGCAGAGGGTGTTGTTCCATCAAAATGGGATCACCTTCAGCCGGCCACAAAGTTGTTTTCCAGTTGTTAAGTAACTGAGGGATCCTAAAGCTTGCTTTCATTTCAATCTCGCTGATGGTTTCCATATTCTCAAATTCTTTTGCCAGGAAATCACATTGATAAGGCTTTGCTGTTCCATCCTCCCACACCAGCATCAGCATAAGCACCGTGACCATCGGTGTCCTTGGCACAGAAATAGGATCCGGAATCATCGTCCTTGAGGTTGTTCATGGTCAGCGTCACCGAGCTCTGCCCGTTGTTCCTGGAGATTGTGAACCGGCCCTTGACTGAATCCGCGTACCTGGTGACGCCACCACTGCTGGTGATGGTTCCAACCCACTCCAGCCACTGCCCGGGTCTTTGGCGAATCCAGGCCATCCCAAAACTGCCGAAACTGAACCCGGACCCTCGGCACAGCAACGTCAGGGACCCCCCGGGGGGCTGGAGGTCCCCCCCGCCCTCCAGCAGGGTCACGGCCGCCCGGAACCCTGCGGGAAAAAGGGGAGATGGCGATGGGGCGATGCAAAAGTCAGGCAGAGCTGTCAAAGTATTAAATGGGTGGATCGCAGCTAATTGCAGGGTTTAAGACACTTTACCATTCAGGATACCTCTGTCGGATGTTTGGGGACAAAAAAAGGCAATTTGGGGAAAAACCGGTGAAGGTTTGGGCATGGGGGAGCAGCCGTGACCCTTCCAGAGTGCGGAGGGGACCTCCAGCCCCCGGGGGGTCCCTGCCCCTCCTCTGCCGAGGGCCTGGGTTCAGTTTTGGGGATTATGGAATGTTCTGGATCCGCCAGAGATCCGGGCAGGGGCTGGAGTGGCTAACAGGGATCAGCAGTGGTAGTTACACCGAGTATGCGGGTTCAGTGCAGGGCCGGTTCATGATCTCCAGGGACAACGGGCCGAGCTCGGTGACGCTGACCATGAACAACCTCAAGGATGAGGATACCGGATCCTATTTCTGCGCCGAGGCTGCTGGTCCCAGTTGGGGTAATGATGTCTCTGCTCTTGGCCTCTTCCCCTTGACTGGGTCCCCTCCTGCCCCCAGGCCCCAGACCCTTCCCCCAGATCTCAGCCCTTGACCGCATTCTTGACCCTTTGCCCCAGATCTCCCCCAGTTCCAACACCACCAATCACGGAGCCGAAACCCACGAACTGGTTCTGCCCCAGACCCAACTATGTTGGCACCAAAAATCGCCCGAATCTGCCCCAAATCCCCACTTGTGCTCCCTGCAGCAGCAGCCGCTGACACGATTCCTCAACATTTGTCCCCAAATCGGGACCCTTGGCCTCAAACCCCGACCTTCAGAGCAAAGTTTTGGGGCAGAAAGAGGAGATTTGGGGTCAGGAGTTGTGGTTTGGGGTCAGCGGATGAGAACTGGGGCCGAGGCAGAGCAAGGTTGGGATCAATGGTGAAGGGCTGGGTGTGGGCTGGGGGTTTGGGGGAAGGGTTTGGGGAATAGGGACGGGGGGGGATAAGGGGATGGGGGTGGGAAAAGCTTGGGCATCGTCACTACGTGCAGCATGTTCACGGTAATTATTAGCAGCACACTTCGCGCAGAAATACATGGCGGGATCCTCGTCCTTGAGGTTGTTCATGGTCAGCGTCACCGAGCTCTGCCCGTTGTCCCTGGAGATCGTGAACCGGCCTTTGACCGATGGCGCGTAGAAGGTGTTGGCACTGTTGTAGTAGATGCCTGCGACGTATTCCAGCGCCTGCCCTGGTCTCTGGCGGATCCAGTACATTCCATAATCCCCAAAATCGAGCCCGGACCCTCGGCAGAGGAGGCGCAGGGATGCCCCGGGGCGCTGGAGGTCCCCCCCACACTCCAGCAGGGTCACGGCCGCCCGGAGCCCTGCAGGAAAAAGGGGAGATGGGGATGAGGCCAAAGCTCAACCCTTGACACAGATCCTGACTCTTGGCCCCAAACTGGGACCCTTGGAGTTCATCATCCTCATCCCAGGAGTGTTCTATCCCTTTGTCCAGCTGGCCACGCCCACTTAAAAGCCCTGGACCAATCAGACTCTTGATTTCCATCATCTCCCCTTTGTCCCGCAGGGCTCCAGGCAGCCGTGACCCTGCTGGAGTGTGAGGGGGACCTCCAGACACCCAGGGGGTCCCTGACATTGCTGTGCCGAGGGTCCGGGTTCAGTTTTGGGAGTTATGGAATGTACTGGATCCGCCAGAGACCCGGGCAGGGTTTGCAATACGTCGCAGGCATCTACAGCACTGGTGGCACCACCTACTATAATCCATCGGTCAAGGGCCGGTTCACAATCTCCAGGGATAACGGGCAGAGCTCGGTGTGGCTGACCATGAACAACCTCAAGGACGAGGATTCCGCCGTTTATTTCTGCGCCAAGTGTGCTGCTAATAATTACCCTGAACATGCTGCTCGTAGTGACGATACCCATGGTGTCCCCATCCCCATCCCTGTGTCCCCCCCATCCCCATTCCCGAGACCCTTCCCCCAAACCCCCAGCCCACACCCAGCCCTTGAACATTGATCCCAACCTTGCTCTGCCTCGGCCCCAATTCCCACTCGCTGACCCCAAATCACAACTCCTGACCCCAAATCTCCACTTTGTGCCCCAAAACTCGATTCTGAAAGTGGATACTTCTGGTCATGGTTAAAGATTTGGGTCAACTTTGTGGTCAAGAGTGGAGAATTCGGGGCAGAGAGAAAGCAGGTTTGCGCGATGGCGTCAGAAATGTGGTCAGGGGCAGAGTTTGGGAGAAGGGTCTGGAGAACCCGGAGAGCTGGTGACACAGCCATGGGAAAGGGGTCAAAACCATAAACAGAAGCCGGAGCATATTTTCCTTCTGGAGCTTTGCCACAGAAATAGGATCCAGAATCCTCGTCCTTGAGGTTGTTCATGGTCAGCGTCACCGAGCTCTGCCCGTTGTCCCTGGAGATCGTGAACCATCCCTTGACCAAATCCCCATAGAAGGTGTCTCCATCGTAGTCAATCCGCGCAACCCATCCCAGCCCCTGTCCAGGCCTCTGGCAGACCCAAATAAAACTGGTTTGTCCGAAATCGAACCCAGACCCTCGGCAGAGGAGACGCAGGGTCTCACAGAGGGCGGGCGGTCCCACCCGTAGTCCTGCAGGGTCACGGCCGCCCGGAGCCCTGCGGGACGAAGGGGAGATGGGGATGAGGCCAAAGCTGAACCCTTGACCCAAATCCTGACTGTTGGCCCCAAACTTGGACCCTTGGATTTCATCACTGTCCTCCCAGGGGGGTCCCGCCCCTTTTAACAGCAAGCCACACCTACTTTGATCCCACAGCAAATCAGGCTCCACATCCTCATCTCCCCTTTGTCCCGCAGGGCTCCATGCAGGCGTGACCCTTCTGGAGTGCGGGGGGGACCTCCAGGCCCCCAGGGGGTCCCTGACGTTGCTGTGCCGCGCAACTGGGTTTGATTTTGGCAGTTTTGGGATGGGCTGTATGCACCAGAGACCTGGGCAGACGCTGGAATACATCGCCAGTATCAACAGCAATGGTGGCAGCACGGACTACGCGCCGTCTGTCATGGGCCGGGTCACAATCTCCAGGGACAAAGGGCAGAGCTCGGTGACGCTGACCATGAACAACCTCAAGGACGAGGATTCCGCCATTTATTTCTGTGCCAAGGGTGCTACTAGTGGTTATGGAGGTGGTGTTTCTGCTTTTAGTGACAATTCCGGCTGTGGTCCCGCCCTCCACGATGGTCACCAGATGTCTCCACTCCCAGTGATCCGTCCGCCAGAGCCCCGCTTTTCTCCTCAGTTGTTAAGGAGTATCCTCCAAACTCCACCCCTGATGACCCAACACTCGACTTTCTCCCAGCATTGCCCATGTCACCGAAATCTCCCCCAGCTCCCCGGGCCCTGATTGGAGGAGGCCTGAACTGGAGGCCAGGGGTTAAGGTTTGGGGCCAATGGTTGAGTTTTGGGGCAGGAGCAGGGGAGGGTTTGGGGTCAGTGCTGACCATTAGGGCAAATGGGGGAGATTTGGGACAAAGGGTCAAGGGCTGAGGTTTAGGGGACAATTTGAAGGAAGAGTCTCAGTTTGGGGACAGGTGAGGACGCAGAGATGGGGATGGATCCACAACGGCCATCGTCACTATAAGCAGCAGTACTACAAAAACCACTATCAGCAGATTTGGCACAGAAATAGGATCCGGAATGCTCGTCCTTGAGGTTGTTCATGGTCAGCATCACCGAGCTCTGCCCGTTGTCCCTCGAGATCCGGACCCGGCCCCTGAACGATGGCGCGTAGAAGGTGCTGCCACTGCTATGGATCCCCGCGACGTATTCCAAACCCTGCCCGGGTCTCTGGCAGAACCAGCTGATTCCAAAATTCCCAAAACTGAACCCAGACCCTCGGCAGAGGAAGCGCAGGGAACCCCCGGGGGGCTGGAGGTCCCCCCCGCACTCCAGCAGGGTCACGGACACCCGGAGCCCTGCGGGAAAAAGGGGAGATGGGGATGAGGCCAAAGCTCAACCCTTGACCCAAGTCCTGACGATCGGCCCCAAACTGGGACTCTTGGAGTTCATCATCCTCCTCCCATGTGGGTCCTGTCCCTTTTTTCCTAATGGCCACGTCCACTTTGAGGTCCTCAACCAATCAGGTTTATGATTTCCATCATCTCCCCTTTGTCCCGCAGGGCTCCGGGCAGCCGTGACCCTGCTGGAGTGTGGGGGGGACCTCCAGCCCCCGGGGGCTCTCTGCGCCTCCTCTGCTGAGGGTCCAGGTTTAGTTTTGGCAGTTTTGGGATGGGCTGAGAATGCCAGAGACCCGGGCAGGGGCTGGAAATCGTCGCAGGGTTAAACAATGGTGGAGGCATCGGCTACGCCGATGCAGTGCAGGGCCGGTTCAGGATCTCCAGGGACAACGGGCAGAACTCGGTGACGCTGACCATGGAAAACCCTAAGGACGAGGATTCCGGATCCCATTTCTGTGCCAAAGCTGCTGCTGATGGTTGGGCTGCTCCTGATCGTTTTGACCCCACCCTTATCGCTGTGTCCCCCCTGTCCCCGTTCCCCAGACCCTTCCCCTAAATTCCAGCCCCTGACCCCACTCCTGTCCCCGTGCCCCAACCCTGCCATGGCTCTGCCCCACATTCTCAGCTCCTGGCCCCACACCTCAGCTCGGGGCCCGCTCGGGGCCATTTTGGCTCCTGAGCTCTCCTTGGCCATTCTGACCCTGCCCTTTACGCATGGAACGTTCCAGGTGACTCCACCCTTGCACCCATCTGCTTCTCTCAGCATGGAGCCCTTGGCTCGAGATCAATTTCAACAGTTTCATCTCCCCAAAATTTCATGTGTTTTCGTTAAAAAAGGGGGTTTTTTCTCCAGAGCCCCCAGAGAGGATTCCAGCCCAGCCCCAAGGAGCAGCCCTAGACACCGCGGCCGCTGAGGGAGAAGTGAAGCCCCAGGTGGGAGCGAGGGAGGGAGGGAGGGAGGAGAAGACGCCGCGATTTTGAGGCTCCGCAGCCTTCCCCCCACTTCCACACTTGACTGAATCTGCATAGTAGATGTACGAACCATCGCTGTGGATCCCTGCGGGCCACTCCAGCTCCTGCCCGGATCTCTGGCGAAACCAATCCATTCCAATATTCCAATATTGAACCCGGACCCTCAACAGAGGAGGCGCAGGGACCCCCCAGGGGGCTGGAGGTCCACCCCGCACTCCAGCAGGGTCACGGCCATCCGGAGCCCTGTGGGACAAAAGGAAGATCGGGATGGGGCCAAAGCTCAACGCTTGATCCAAATCCTGACTATTGGCCCCAAATTGGGACCCTTGGAGTTCATCATCCTCCTGCCAGGTGTGTCGCAATCCTGTATCAAGCTTTCCCCTCCCAGTTTGTGGCCCTGGACCCATCAGGTTTCTCCTCCCCATCTCCCCTTTGTCTCGTTGAGCTCCGGGCCGCCGTGACCCTGCTGGAGTGCGGGGGGGACCTCCAGCCCCCCGGGGGTTCCCTGTGCCTCCTCTGCCGAGGATCCGGGTTCGATTTTGGCAGTTTTGAAATGTACTGGGTCTATCAGAGACCTGGGCAGAGGCTGGAGTGACTCGCAAGTATCAGCAGCGGTGGTGGCACCATCTACTATGCGCCATCGGTCAAGGGCCGGTTCACAATCTCCAGGGACAACGGGCAGAACTCGGTGACGCTGACCATGAACAACCTCAAGGACGAGGATTCCGCATCCTATTTCTGTGCCAAGGGTGCTGATGCTTATAGCTGGAAGGCTGCTGCTTATGGTGAAGACCCCAGTGGTGGATCCACGCACCCATCTCAGCGTCCCCAGCTGTCTCCAAACCCCCAAAATTTCCCCAAAATCTCAGCCCTGGTCCCATCCCTGCCCGGGGGTCTCTGTCCCAATCCCCACTGGGACGGGGCTATGGGGACCCCTCTGGAGCCGTTTGGTTTCCCACCATCGCTCTCCTCACCGGGCTGTGGCCATGGGGAGGTGCCGGTGGCTCACGGCCCCGGCAGCATACACAGAACTCAATGGCGCAGCTCACCGCCAGGGGTTTGTGGTCAATTACACAAAGCAAAGGCAGATTGACATAGTGGGGCTGGATCTGGGACATCCCCGTCCGTTTTGGGGAATGTGGTTGGGACGTGGAGCCCAGACCTGAGGTTTGGGGCCAGGAGCTGAGATTGGGGCAGAACAGGTTCAGAGCTGGGACACAGGGACAGGAATGGGGTCAGGGGCTGGGGACTGGGGGAAGGGTCTGGGGAACGGAGACAGGGGGGGACACAGCCATGGGGATGGGGTCAACATTATAAGCATTATTCCCCGAATAATTATCAGCAGATTTGGTGCAGAAATAGGTGGCGGAATCCTCGTCGTTGAGGTTGTTCATGGTCAGCGTCACCAAGATCTGCCACTTGTCCCTGGAGTTCCTGACGCGCTCCTTGAATGACGCCCCGTAGTGGGCGATGGAACCGTCCCTGCTGTTCCCCGTGAGACACTCCAGCCCCTACCCGGGTCTCTGGCGCATCCAGAACATTCCATTGCTCCCAAAATCGCACACGGACCCTCGGCAGAGGAGGCGCAGGGAACCCCCGGGGGGCTGGAGCTTCCCCCCCGCACTCCAGCAGGGTCACGGCTGCCCGGAGCCCTGCGGGACAAAGGGGAGATGGGGATAAGAAACCTGATTTGTCAAGGGCCGCAACCTGGGAGGGTCAAGCTTGATAAAGTATCGACACCCAACAGGAAGGAGGATGATGAAATCCAAGGGTCCCAGATTGGGGCCAAGAGTCAGGATTTGGGTCAAGGGATGAGCTTTGGCCTCATCCCCATCTCCCCTTTGTCCCGCAGGGCTCCAGGCGGCCGTGACCCTGCTGGAGTCGGGGGGGATCTCCAGCCCCCCGGGGGGTCCCTGTGCCTCCTCTGCCGAGGGTCCGGGTTCGATTTCGGGAGTTTCTCCATGTTCTGGATTCGCCAGAGACCCGGGCAGGCTTTGGAATACTTCGCAAGCATCTACTACAATGCTGCCAACAGCTACTACGCGCCATCGGTCAAGGGCCGGGTCCCGATCTCCAGGGACAACGGGCAGAGCTCGGTGACGCTGACCATGAACAACCTCAAGGACGACGATTCCGCTGTTTATTTCTGCGCCAAACATAGCAGTAATGGTTATGGTTCTGCTGGACCCGCTCGTATTGAGAATTCCTGCCGTGGCCCCAGCCCCTTTGCAGTCCCAAGTGCCCACAATCCCCAGAGATATTTCCCCGACTCCCAGCTCTGTTCATCAAATCTTCACCAGTTCCTTCCATACTCCGCCCCTGCTGCCCCAACATTCGGCTTTCCCAGAGTTTTGCTCATTTCACCCAAATCTCCCCCAACTCCCCGGGCCCTGATTGGAGGAGGCCTGAACTGGAGGCCAGGGGTAAAGGTTTGGGGCCAATGGTTGAGTTTTGGGGCAGGAGCAGGGGAGGGTTTGGGGTCAGTGCTGACCATTGGGGCAAATGGCGGAGATGTGGGACAAGGTGCCAAGGGCTGAGGTTTGGGGGGAGGGTCTGAGGACTCGGGGCATTTGGGAACCCATCAAGAAAGGCAGGGCTTAAACCAACATAAATACCATAAGCTTCGTAATTAGAACCAGCATAAGGAGATTTTGCACAGAAATAGGATCCGGAATCCTCGTCCTTGAGGTTGTTCATGGTCAGCATCACCGACCTCTGCCCGTTGTCCCTGGAGATTGTGAACCGGCCCTTTACAGATGGCGCGTATGCGGTGTAGGAACCACTGCTGATCCCTGCGACCCATTCCAGAGCCTGCCCCTGTCTCTGGAGGATCCACATCATTCCAGACTGTCCGAAATCGAACCCGAACCCTTGGCAGAGGAGGCGCAGGGACCCCCCGGGGGGCTGGAGGTTCTCCCCACACTCCAGTAGGGTCACGGCCGCCCGGAGCCCTGCGGGACAAAGGGGAGATGGGGATGGGGCCAAAGCTCAACCCTTGACGCAAATCCTGACCCTTGGCCACAAATTAGAACACTTGGAGTTCATCATCCTCCTCCTACTGGGGTCCCACCCCTTTTTTAATCATGCAATGCCAACTTGGGAACTCTTCACCAATCAGGTTTCCCATCCCCATCTCCCCTTTTTCCCCGCAGGGCTCCAGGCGGCCGTGAACCTGCTGGAGTGCCGGGGGAACCTCCAGCTCCCCGGGGGGTCCCTGTGCCTCCTCTGCCGAGGGGCCGGGTTCGATTTTGGAGGTTTTGGGATGCACTGGCTGCGCCAGAGACCCGGGCAGGTGCTGCAATGGCTCGCAGGGATCACCAGCAATGGTGCTTACACCACGTACGTGCCGTCGGTCATGGGCCGGTTCAGGATCTCCAGGGACAACAGGAAGATCTCGATGACGCTGACCATGAACAACCTCAAGGACGACAATTCCGGATCCTATTTCTGTGCCAAATATGCTGGTACTGGTTGTTGTAGTCCTGGTTCTTATAGTGAAGATGACAGTTGTGGATCCACCCCCCTCTCAGTGTCCCCCCCGTCCCCAATCCCAGATCCTCCCCACAAACCTCAGCCCTTGACCCTTTGTCCCAAATCTCCACCATTTGCCCCGATGGTCAGCACTGACCCCAAACCCTCCACTGCTCCTGCCCCAAAACTCAACCATTGGCTCCAAACCTTCACCCCTGGCCCCCAGTTCAGGCCTCCTCCAATCAGGGCCCAGGAGCTGGGGGCGATTTGGGTGAAATGGGAAAAATTGGGAGAAAGTCGGAAGTTGGGGCAAAGATGGTGGACACTAGGTGAAGGTCAAGAAGGGGATCAAGGGTTGGGATTTGGGGCAGGATTTGGGGATTTTGGGACATTTGGGGAGCCAGGGATGGGGGTTTGCTGCCACCACCAGCATCGTCGCCATGTCCAGAGCTCCTTGAGAGGATTCCAACCCCAGCCCCAAGGAGCAGCACCAGACACCGCGGCCGCTGAGGGAGAAGAGAAGCCTCAGGTGGGAGCAACGGAGGGAGGGAGGGAGGGAGGAGCAGACACCGCAATTTTGGGGCTCCGCAGCCTCCCCCCACTTCCTCCCCGGCAGCTGCCGGGGCCCGGCTGGGGCAGGAAAGGAAACAGAAAGTTCCTGGTTTTGGTCACTGTGAACATCTGTGTTTGGCAGAGGGCAGCTCAGCCTCGGGGCGCCGCAGCAGAGCGCCGGCTGCACAAAAAGCTTTGTGTGCAAAGGGCCCTGGAGTGATCCCCGTTCCACACTGGGACGGAGGGGAAGGGCCAGAATGGGGAGAAATGGGAGAAACTGGGGGGAAATTGGGAATTGGGGTAGTGATGGTGGAGTTTGGGGGAAATGGTCAAACTTCTAGGAACAGGGCTGGGATTTTTTGGAAGGATCTCTGCGATTGGAGGCATCAGTTGACCATCATGGTCACTGCCAGGATAGATGCCGAAACCAGCGTCAATAGAATTGCCAGCGTAACCATTGCAAAGTTTGACACAGAAAAAAAAGGCGGAATCCTCGACCTTGAGGTTGTTCATGGTCAGCGTCACCGAGCTCTGACCGTTGTCCCTGGAGATCGTGAACCGACCCTTGAACGATGGCGCGTATCTGGGAGTGGCACCATCAATGGTGACACTCGCCACAAACTCCAACTCTGCGCGGGTCTCTGGCTCATCCAGCCCATCCCAAAATTCCCAAAATCGATCCCGGGCCCTCGGCAGAGGAAGAGCAGGGACCCCCGGGGGGCTGAGGTTTCCCCCCCGCACTCCAGCAGGGTCACGGCCGCCCGGAGCCCTGCGAGAAAAAGGGGAGATGGGGATGAGGCCAAAGCTCATGCCTTGACCCCAAAATCCCAACTATTGGCCCCAAATGGTGAACACATCTTCCTTCTCCTCGTGATCCTGGTCACCCTCCAGAATGGATCCCATCATTTTTTCCAACTGGCCTTGATGACTTGGGGACTCGATTAATCAGGTTTCCCATCCCCATCTCCCCTTTGTCCCGCAGGGCTCCAGGCGGCCGTGACCCTGCTGGAGTGCGGGGCGGACCTCCAGCCCCCCGGGGGGTCCCTGCGCCTCCTCTGCCGAGGGTCTGGGTTCAGTTTTGGCAGTTTTGCCACGAACTGGGTCCGCCAGAGACCCGGGTAGGGGCTGGAATGCATTGCCTACATCAGGAGCGATGGTTCCAATATTTACTATGCGCCATGGGTGCAGGGCCGGTTCAGGATCTCCAGGGACAAAGGGCAGAGCTCGGTGAGCTGACCATGAACAACCTAAAGGACGAGGACTCTGACGTTTATTTCTGCACCAAATGTCCTAATAGTAGTTATGGTGGTGGTGTTGCTGCTTTTAGTGACAATTCCAGCAGTGGTCCCACCCTCCCTGATGGTCACCAGATGTCTCCACTCCCAGTGATCCTTCCTCCAGAGCCCCGCTTTTCTCCTCAGTTGTTAAAGAGTTTCCCCCAAACTCTGCCCCTACTGCCTCAACTCTGGACTTTCTCCCACTTCTGCCCATTTCACCCAAATCTCCCCCAGCTCCCCGGGCCCTGATTGGAGGAGGCCTGAACTGGAGGCCAGGGGTTAAGGTTTGGGGCCAAAGGTTGAGTTTTGGGGCAGGAGCAGGGGAGGGTTTGGGGTCAGTGCTGACCATAGGGGCAAACGGGGGAGATTTGGGACAAAGGGTTCAAGGTCTGAGTCAATGGGTGAGTTTTGGGGGAAGGGTCTGGGGATTCAAGACGGGGGGCGACATGGAGACGGGGGTGGATCCACAACTGGTGCCTTCAACATATGCAGCAGCATCACCCCAATTGCCAGCAGCACCATGTTTGGCACAGAAATAGGATCCGGAATCCTCGTCCTTGAGGTTGTTCATGGTCAGCGTCACCGTGCTCTGCCCGTTGTCCCTGGAGATCCTGAACTGGCCCTTGACCGATGGGGTGTAGCCAGTGTCAGCACCATCGTTCCTGATCCCCGCGAGCCATTCCAGCCCCTGCCCGCGTCTCTGGCGGATCCATTGCATGGCGAAACTCCCGAAACTTAACCCAGACCCTCGGCAGAGGAGGCGCAGGGACCCCCGGGGGGCTGCAGGTCCCCCCGCACTCCAGCAGGGTCACGGCCGCCCGGAGCCCTGCGGGACAAAGGGGAAATGGGGATGTGGGAACGAATCCACCCAAATGTTGATTCCTGCATGCAGATCCTGATGTTGGCCCCAAACTGGGACCCTTGGACCGCCCCACCCTCCTCCTGCAACTCCTGCGAGTCATCCCAGGTGGATCCCAAACCCTTCTTCTGGAATGGCAGCGCCCAGTTTGACCGCACAACCAATGGGTCTCATCATCCCCATCTCCCCTTTGTCCCGCAGGTCTCCGGGTGGCCATGACCCTGCTGTAGTGCGGGGGGGACCTTCAGCCCCCCGGGGGTTCCCTGACGTTGCTGTGCCGAGGGTCCGGGTTCAGTTTTGGGAGTTTCTCCATGTTCTGGGTGCGGCAGAGATCCAGGCAGGGGCTGGAATTCGTCGCAGTGATCAAGGGCAACGGTGGCAGCATCGCCTACGCGCCATCGGTGAAGGGCTGGTTCAGGATCTCCAGGGACAACGGGCAGAGCTCGCTGACGCTGACCATTGAACAACCTCAAGGACGAGGATTCCGGATCCTATTTCTGTGCCAAATGTGTTGATGGTGATTGTGCCAATAGTAATGGTACTGTTGGTGTGGCATTTATTGCTGGTTCTGATCTTGGTCCCAAATCCCTCCACTTTGTTCCCAAATATCCCATAGTCCTCTGATCTCCTCATCATCAGCCTTTTTCAACAAATCTCAGCCATTTTACCCCAATGTCTGCCCCTGTTGCCCCAACTTCTGAATTTCTCCCAGTTTTGCCCATTTCACCCAAATCTCCCCAAGCTCCCTGGGCCCTGATTGGAGGAGGCCTGAACTGGACCCAGGGGTGAAGTTTTGGGGCCAATGGTTGAGTTTTGGGGCAGGAGCAGGGGAGGGTTTGGGGTCAGTGCTGACCATTGGTGCAAATGGAGACAAAGGGTAAAGGGCTGGGTCAATGGGTGAGGTTTGGGATGAAAAGCAGAACTCTGGGGACTCAATGATGGGAGTGGGATGAAAGGCAGGAGCTTGAGACCATCAGGGGCATTGTCACCATTAGCAGCAGCACCATAATTATCAGCAGCCCTGGCACAGAGATACGATCCGGAATCCTCGTCCTTGAGGTTGGTCATGGTCAGCGTCACTGAGCTCTGCCCGTTTTCCCGGGAGATCATGAACCGGCCCTTGACTGATGGCGGGTAGTAAGTGGCTCCACCAATGTTTATGTACGCCACGAATTCCAGCCCCTGCCCGTGTCTCTGGCACACCCAGTTCATGGCAAAATTGCCGAAACTGAACCCGGACCCTCAGGAGAGGAGGTGCAGGGACCCCCCGGGTGCCTGGAGGTCCCCCCCGCACTCCAGCAGGGTCACGGCCGCCCGGAGCCCTGCGGGACAAAGGGGAGATGGGGATGAGGCCCCGGATACAGGTGTGGGTCTGGCTGGGGGTGACCAGATCCAATATGGGACCTCAAGCCCCCTGGAAGGGCCTGCAGGATCAGGAGGAGGAGAAAGTGCCACAATTTGGGGCCAACATCAGGATCTGCATGCAAGAATCAACATTTGGGTGGATGTTTTCCTTCATCCCCATCTCCCCTTTGTCCTGCGGGGCTCCGGGCGGCCGTGACCCTGCTGGAGTGCAGGGGGGACCTCCAGTCCCCTGAGGGGTCCCTGCGCCTTCTCTGCCGAGGGTCTGGGTTCGATTTCGGGAGAGTTGACATGTTCTGGATCCGCCAGAGACCCGGGCAGGGGTTGCAATACGTCGCAAGGATCTACCACACTGGAGGTTACACCGACTACGCGCCGTCGGTCAAGGGCCGGTTCAGGATCTCCAGAGACAATGGGCAGAGCTCGGTGACGCTGACCATGAACAACCTCAAGGACGAGGATTCCACCACCTATTTCTGTGCCAAATGTTACAGTAGTAGTTGTGGTGGTGGCACTGCTGCTTATGGTTTTTATGGTGGTTGTGGTCCCAAGCCCTTTCTTCTGTGTAACCAGGTATCACAGAATTCTCTGACCCTTCCCCCTGGTTCCTGCCCTTTTTTCTCAAATCTTCACCATTTCCTCCAAACTCGTCCCCTGTTGCTGCAATTTTTGGTTTCCCCCCAATTTTCCCCATTTCTCCCCAGTCTGGCCCTTCCCCTCCGTCCCAGTGTGGCACGGGATTGCTCCAGGGCCCTTTGCACACAAAGCTTTTTGTGCAGCCGGCGCTCTGCCGCAGCGCCCCGAGGCTGAGCTGCCCTCTGCCAAACACAGATGTTCACAATGACCAAAACCAGGAACTTTCTGTTTCCTTTCCTGCCCCGGCTGGGTCC